TTAGGTTAGGTTAGGTTAGGTTAGGTTAGGTTAGGTTAGGTTAGGTTAGGTTAGGTTAGGTTAGGTTAGGTTAGGTTAGGTTAGGTTAGGTTAGGTTAGGTTAGGTTAGGTTAGGTTAGGTTAGGTTAGGTTAGGTTAGGTTAGGTTAGGTTAGGTTAGGTTAGGTTAGGTTAGGTTAGGTTAGGTTAGGTTAGGTTAGGTTAGGTTAGGTTAGGTTAGGTTAGGTTAGGTTAGGTTAGGTTAGGTTAGGTTAGGTTAGGTTAGGTTAGGTTAGGTTAGGTTAGGTTAGGTTAGGTTAGGTTAGGTTAGGTTAGGTTAGGTTAGGTTAGGTTAGGTTAGGTTAGGTTAGGTTAGGTTAGGTTAGGTTAGGTTAGGTTAGGTTAGGTTAGGTTAGGTTAGGTTAGGTTAGGTTAGGTTAGGTTAGGTTAGGTTAGGTTAGGTTAGGTTAGGTTAGGTTAGGTTAGGTTAGGTTAGGTTAGGTTAGGTTAGGTTAGGTTAGGTTAGGTTAGGTTAGGTTAGGTTAGGTTAGGTTAGGTTAGGTTAGGTTAGGTTAGGTTAGGTTAGGTTAGGTTAGGTTAGGTTAGGTTAGGTTAGGTTAGGTTAGGTTAGGTTAGGTTAGGTTAGGTTAGGTTAGGTTAGGTTAGGTTAGGTTAGGTTAGGTTAGGTTAGGTTAGGTTAGGTTAGGTTAGGTTAGGTTAGGTTAGGTTAGGTTAGGTTAGGTTAGGTTAGGTTAGGTTAGGTTAGGTTAGGTTAGGTTAGGTTAGGTTAGGTTAGGTTAGGTTAGGTTAGGTTAGGTTAGGTTAGGTTAGGTTAGGTTAGGTTAGGTTAGGTTAGGTTAGGTTAGGTTAGGTTAGGTTAGGTTAGGTTAGGTTAGGTTAGGTTAGGTTAGGTTAGGTTAGGTTAGGTTAGGTTAGGTTAGGTTAGGTTAGGTTAGGTTAGGTTAGGTTAGGTTAGGTTAGGTTAGGTTAGGTTAGGTTAGGTTAGGTTAGGTTAGGTTAGGTTAGGTTAGGTTAGGTTAGGTTAGGTTAGGTTAGGTTAGGTTAGGTTAGGTTAGGTTAGGTTAGGTTAGGTTAGGTTAGGTTAGGTTAGGTTAGGTTAGGTTAGGTTAGGTTAGGTTAGGTTAGGTTAGGTTAGGTTAGGTTAGGTTAGGTTAGGTTAGGTTAGGTTAGGTTTTTTTTTTTTTTTTTAACTTTGAATTTCTCAAGGTACAATACGATATGCTATCGGGATACAATTCGCATTATACAGTGATTTTATTTATTTCTTGATTTTTCTGTGTTTTATTGATAGATTAACTGTTTTAATTTGTCTTAAATTTCTACTAATTATTAAATTGCTTAAGCGATTTAACAATTTTTTCTATGTGTACATTAAAACTTTCTATGCAAGATTCTTTTTGTATAATATCAGTTAATTTGTAGGGACAAATTTTCATTATACTGCAGTTAAGTTCATGTTCGATCCTTGTTTGACTATATTTCGGACATTGTTTTATTAAATGGTCTATGCTTTGTGGCGTGGTATTGTCACAAGGACATAGGTCATTTGTTGTTATTTTAAAACGACACAGGTACTTTTTGTGGAAACCGTGATTAGTCAGTACTTGAGTTAAGCTAAATGATGGTTTGAATTTTTCTAGTACTACTTGTAAGTTCTCATAGGTAGGACACCATGTTTTGATATGTGCGCAATTTTCTGGTTTGTTATAATATGCTTCTGCTGCTCTCTTAAGTTCTATTTTATGTTTTTGTTTTATATAAGTGATTGGGAAATTGCAATAATCTGGAATTTTGTTTAAATTTGATGCCGATTTTGCAGCTGTATCTGCTAGTTCATTTCCTAAAATTCCATTGTGCGCTTTAATCCAAACGAATTTAATTATTTTATTTAATTCCTTAGCTTTGACAATATTGTGGTGAATTTCTACAATTAATGGGTTTGTGCTCTCCGGATTTTGGATTTCTTGCAAGCTTGATTTACTGTCTGAAAAAATTGTGAATGTATGTATTTTGCTTGTCAGTATCCAGTAAATTGCCTTTTTAATAGCGAATATTTCAGCTTGAAAAATTGAACAAGTGTTGTGTAATTTAAATTTCTTTGTCACAGTTTGCCTTTCGTGGGTGAGTACAACAAAAGCAGCTCCAACTCCATTTTCACTTTTACTTCCGTCTGTGAAGATGCTGGATGTATTTGTTTCTTGATATTGTTCTATTTCTTCCTGACATGTAAGTTCGTTAAATTCTATGATTTTCCTTTCTGACGGATGAAGAAGCGCTGTGGGTTTTGACGGCGATTCTAATACTATGTCAGAAGGTAGGTATTTTGATGTGCGATTTTGCCTAGTTATTTCCAGATCTGCAACTGCGTTTATTTTATCTGGTAGAGGGTGTAATTCTGCTAAGCTGATGGCGGTAGCTGTACCGATAGTCCGGAATCCCCTTATAATTTTAATAGCTATGATTCGTTGTAGGGAAAGAAGACGTTTATTGACATATTTATATTTTAAAGCGGGATTCCAAATACTTGCGGCATAACATAATATGGGCTCTACTACAGCCGTGTAAATAGTGCGCACGTTTTCTGGATTAATTCCCCAGGTTGGTTTTATATATTTGATCAGTTTGTGAAGTATTTTCATTGATTTATTGATTGTGTAATCTGCATGTTTTATAAAGTTTAATTTTTGATCGATTATAACTCCTAAGTATTTTATCTGTCGAGTAGAGCTTATTAATTGTTTTTCCATTACTATTTTACACTTTTTGGCTTTGTTAGTGAATGAAATCATTTGAGTTTTGTTCGGGTTAAATTTGAGCTTAACTGAATTGCCCCATTCCAATATTTGATCAAGTGCTTTCTGTGTTGTATTTTCTAATGTGACAATATCTTTAGCATGAGCGATTAAAAGTAAGTCATCTGCAAATGCCTGGAGATGACATCCACTTGGTAGCGTTGTTGATAAAAGTTCATCAAGGATTATGTTCCAAATCATGGGTCCACACACTGATCCCTGTATGCATCCTCGGTGCATTGATTTGGTAGCTGAACTATCTGCGAAATCCAGTTTTACTTTACGATCCTTTGTATAGCTTTGGAGCAATATAAATATGTTCTTAGGACATCGGATATGGTTTAATCTATGGTATAATGCAGGCCACCAAGCGTGATCAAATGCTGCTTGTATATCCAAAGAAACTGCTAAAACATGCATTTTATTGTTTTTGGCGTCTTTAATTATATGTAGTGCCTTTTGTATTGCATTCGTAGTCGATGTTTGTTCTTTGAATCCATACTGAGTTTCACTCATTGCATTGGTTTTGTGTAGATGATATGTTAGTCGTTTGGTTATAAGTTTTTCGAAAGTTTTTCCAAAAACATTGATGAGTCCTATAGGTCTATAAGAAGAAGTGCTGAATTCAGTTTTGTGAGGTTTTGGAATGATCTTTATGCATGCAGTTTTCCAAATTTTTGGGAAGTAGCCGAGATCGAGACATCTATTCATTATAGCGGTTATAACCAAGGGGTACAATTTTGTAAAATTAAAACAAATGTCTGCAGTTAAGTGATCCAGTCCTGGTGATTTGTTAGGGTTCATTGTTTTTATTGAGTTTAATACTTCATCGGTAGTGAACGGAGGTTCTGACGAAGTGTCTGGTATTTTATTTGAGAGATTACGTATTTCTGTGTGTTTAGGGCTTATGTCGGGTTCATCTTCAGGGAAATATTCATTTAATAATGTCTCTGCAGTTTCTTGGTTGGTTGATGTGTAATTACCTAATTTTGTTTTAAGTGTCGTTGGTGGTTGCGTTAACGGTGTAGTTTTCAGTAGCCTGTTAGTAACACTCCAAACATCTTCTTTACCTTGTTTATTGCAAAATTCTCTAAAGTGATTCGTGGATACAGTTCTAATAGCTTGGGCGTACTCTGTCTTTAATTTTGCTTTTTCTTCTATCGCGTCGTGTAGTGGTCTTTTCCGTTGTTTTAACTGCTGAATTTTATGATGGTTTTTTATTACCTTTTGTTTGAGTGTCTCTAGATCATTATTCCACCAAGGTGCTCTTACAGGTGTCTTTCTTTTTAGTGGAAACAGTTTTTCACATGACTTTTGAATGGCAGATGTTAAGTTACATATGAAATTTTCTATTTCACAATCGTTAAATTGCTCTATGTTTGCATTTAAATCTACAGTTTTAGTAATTTCCTCTTTGAATTTTTCACTTACTTGTTCCCATTTTATATTTTGTGTATTATATTTAAATGTCGATAACTTTTTAGGTTTGGGTATATCGTTTTTGTTAATTAATAAATCAAATGTTATTGCGTTGTGGCCAGACGATGGGCAGACTTCTAATGCCACTTTCCAGTTAGCGATTTGATTTGTTAATAAATTAGATGTAAGGGTAAGGTCAATAATTGATTCTCGGTGCATGTTATGGGTAATAGTCTCGAATGTTGGCACTTTTCCAGAGTTGCAAAGGTTTAGATTATTCGTAGTCATAAAGTCTGCTATGTGGTTCCCACGTCGATTTGCCTTGGGTGAGTTCCACAAAGGGTGCCAACCATTGAAATCACCGCAGATTATGTGACTGTAATTTGTTGTTTTTTGTAGAAAATGCTCTAGTGCACTTATTGTGTTAATTTCATCAGCCCTTGGTTCGACATAAACGCTTACGAAGAAAATCTTTTTACCTCCGATGATTATTTGTACAATGCAAAGGTTAGATGTGGAGTGCTCTGATATACCTAACGAAGAACCAATATCTTGCTTGATGAGCAAGCAAGCTTTAACGTGGTGCTTTGTTGGAAACTGATATACTTTGTAACCGGGGCAAGGTTTCATGTTAATGTTACTACCAACATAAGGTTCACTAATAAACACTATGTCGTACAGGTTGTCCGTGATATACTTTAATGCTTCGTTAGTTGCTGCGTAACCTCTATCTAAGTTAATTTGTAGACATTTTAGTGAACTGCATTTTTTTGGTGTTGTTCTCTTGTTTTTATTTTTGATATCCATAGTCAGTTTTGTTCTTGCAAATTTCAATTTGTTTTAATACGCGAGGGCAGTGTAATGATGTAGCGCTATGTTTTGTATCAGAATTTAATTTGTATTTATTAGCGTGTTCTGTGCAGTTATGGCAATTTATCTTATTGTGATCTTTTTTATCAGGGCAATCCCTGTAGGTGTGTGAGTTGGAGGAGCAGTGGGAACAGATTATTATATCTTCAGTGCAGTGCTTCTTGGTGTGTCCAAATTTCATGCACTTGTAGCACTGTAGAAATGCCGGATGGTCCTCTGCGTGTACACGTTGGTGGTCTATGTTTACTTTTTGTAATTCTATGATTGCCCTCCAAATATGGGGGGTGACCATGAACACAGCGTTGTAAAGTTTTTGATTTTTGTTATTGCGAATAAATTTATATGTCAAGTCTTCGGGTGTGTTAATTAAATCTTTAATTTTGGGATTTTGCTTAATGATAATATCGTTTAGTTCAGATACGGGGGTGTCTTTAAAAATACCCTTCAGTATTACCATAGGCTTAAGTTTCTTAGCTATTTCCGCGCTAACGAGACTGTCTGGTTTGTTTATTGCCTCAAGAATCTCGTCCCTTTGCTCTTGGTTGTCAAATTCTACTCTAAGTTTATAATTGGATACTTTCTTAACTTCAGCGGGAGCAAATGTATGATTTTTGAATTGAACACTTTTCCGCCACGCGTTGACAGTCTCCTGTGAAGAGGATACTGATTGTTTGGTAGTAACAATTAAAGCTGGTTTAGTAATAGGTATGACCGATTTCTCAACGGTCTTCTTAGTCTTAACGATGGAGGCGTAACTCTGAAGTTCTGCGGGGATAATAGGTGGATGAATAATGTCTTGTTGCGGCCGAGCGGTGGTCTGATGAGGTTTTATCGTAAGCTTCTCGAACTCTTCTCTGATTGTATTTTTGATGATTGAGACAGTTTTATTTTCAGCCGATAACGTTGAATGACACAAAATATTTTTAACTTGATCGTGTAAGTGCTGGGTGCTGCGCCTAATTTCTTCTAAAGACTTTTTGATACTATCCTTGTTTAATCGAGTGACACTTCTACTACCGTCTAGAGTTTTTTGAATTAATTCAGTGTGTTCAATTACTTTTGAAAGGTATTCGTCATTAAAATTAGGGCTAGAATCAGATTGAGCTTCTTCGAATACGTCGTCAGTTATATTTGTTGTATATTCAGTTCTTATAATTTCCTGACTAAGATTGACACTAGTTACGGCTTCAGGACAAGTATTGCTGAGAGCTGACATTGGTGTTATATGAATTCACTTAATTAATGAGAACCGCGAGGGGCAGTTAGATTTTCTTTAATTTCGTATGTTTTATATTGCAGATTTCAGTGCAGTTGGCAGTTTCTACACAGGCGGGCCTAACAAAATCAAAAGGAGCGAAATAAATGAAGACTTGACAAAGTTTAATTTTCTTTTTTTTTTTTTTTAATTTTATGAATTTACTACTATAAGAAAATCGAATTATATGAAAATCAATTAATTGAAATAAGAAAATTTACAAAGAAAACTATGTGGAAATACGTTGGACATTAAATTAACTATTTAAAAACAAAATTTAAATTAAAAAAGACGCAAATAATTATGATTTTTAACGAGAAGTATGAAAATTTACTTAAGTAATGAAAACCGGGAGGGTGGGAGGGCGATTTTCTCTAATTCTGTGTATTTTATTTTGCAGATTTAAGTGCAGTTGGCAGTTTCTACACGTAGCGGACCTAACTGAAGCAAAATAAGCGAAATAAACGAAGATTTGAAAAAAATTAAAAATTTATTGAAAATACGTCTCTAAGAAAACGAATTATATGAAAATTTGCAATTTAACTGTGAAAATGGTATTAAAAAACTACAAGGAATTACAGGGGGCAATTAAATACACTATTTAAAAGAAAATTTGAACAGAAAAGACCTATTTTCAGCAAAGTTACAGATGAATTTATGTTTATGTTTATATATTTTCGACTATAAAAGAATGAAAAACGTGAAAATTAATTATATTACAGAAAAAATTTACTAAAAAAACTATGGGGTAATATGAAGGACAATTAGTTGTACTATTAAGAAAAAATTTGAACAAAAAAGACGAAGTTTTAGGAAAGTTATAAGCAAATTTATAGTTGAATTTAAATATTTGTATCGATTAACCACTATACCTCGGTTTAGGTAAGTGTCGATTTTCTCTAATTCTGTGTATTTTATTTTGCAGATTTAAGTGCAGTTGGCAGTTTCTACACGTAGCGGACCTAACTGAAGCAAAATAAGCGAAATAAACGAAGATTTGAAAAAAATTAAAAATTTATTGAAAATACGTCTCTAAGAAAACGAATTATATGAAAATTTGCAATTTAACTGTGAAAATGGTATTAAAAAACTACAAGGAATTACAGGGGGCAATTAAATACACTATTTAAAAGAAAATTTGAACAGAAAAGACCTATTTTCAGCA